TTTTAAGTGGATTTTTTTTTCAGAATTACCGGGACCGACTGTACATAGTGGTTTGATGTCCCCCGTTCCTTGGGATTTCTAAATAACATTATAATTTGTATACATCTCTGCTTTTTTAATAGAGTAATGGGAATGGGCGTATAAAATCATGGGTTTTGGTGGTTACACTCAAATGCTACTTCTTGAAGAGCTTGATACCAAATCCGTGGGGATGCCTGCTGCAAACAAGTCGATAGTAGTTGTTTGACTTTGTAGTTTGTTCCGTGAGCCAAATGGACGACATCCCAGCACGTAAAGAGTCTTTACTTTTTAAGCCGGGTGTGCCCATTCTATTCAGGCTACGAGACGAATTGTCCAATCAATTCTCTATGGTAAACGTCATAATACATCAGTACCGAACGACGCGATTCGGCCTGCCACCGCGCTACGCTATCAAAGACACCCGCTTTGTCGAAGCACGTCGCCATGCTGCTCTAGGACGTCGCTTCCTCCCTTTTCAGCCGCTCAATCAGCTTGCCTTCCAGGAACGGACTTAGTCCCAGACTAGCAGCATATTTGAATTAGCAATATCCAGCCCATCAATACGTGCAAGACTTACATTCCCTCTCGCGTCACCACGCGATATGTTCCGCTCGGCTGCACCCTGCCAACGACGTCGCCATGCCCGTCCACCTCAACGCTGCCGAGAATATCTTCGGGCCACGCGATTCTTCCAAAGTCCGGGGGGTTTCTACGATCGCTCAGATGCACCCAGCCGCCCTTGCCGGCACCACCAGCACCGCCCTGAGCACTCGCGCCTCCGGCTCCAGAGCCGCCGGCGCCGCCCCCCGCCCCCTGCTTGCGTGATGATGCCTTTCTGGACCGCTGAGCGTTGAAAAAGACGCCGCCAGAGCCCAAGTTCGACCCGCCTGGGCTGGCAAAGGCCCTGGCCTGGCTGGTTACATCTTCGTCCAGGTGGCCATACTCTGTCACCACCTCGTTGAGTATATCGAGGAATCGGTGGTTTTCCGAAAAGGACTGCGGCGTCGGGGGGATCACGGCGGACGTTCCAATGGCGAGTTTCGGAGATGGTGGATTCGTGTCGAGGTATGTGAGGATATATGTCGCCGGCGATGACGGGTTGTCAAAAACTCTCTGGGCTGCGCGTTAGAGCTTCCGTGCGGAATGGGAACCAGGGGAGGGAACGCACAATGCGTGAATTGTTCGGGAGTGTTGATACGGCCCGTTGCCAGATGCCAAAGCTCCGGGGAGCAAAGCGAGTCGCTGCCAGCATTGCGGGCGAATTCCTTGGTGATGAAGATGTCAAGCTCTGAAATTCTTCAGACATGGATGCGAGCTTCAAAGTGGAGCCATTATGCCGTCACTGCATTGACAGCTGCAGGGTGACGCGAAGACCCCGCGACCCCAAAAATATGCATCTAACAGTAATCAATTAAACTATGGACGCGTCTGGTCCACGCGGTCCACGCCAACATCCAAAAGTATCCAGCCGACCACAATTCGGCCTGTAGCTTGTCACGCAAGCATCATCGCGCTTTCGGATACGAGCGTCGAAGCCAATGGGTTGATACCGGCAACAATGGACAAACCACCGGCACCCATCTTCCGACGACAAAACGCCATACCATCCTCGTCCGCGATACCATCGTCGTCGCCGGCGTTCGGCACTCCCGTCCACCCTCCAAGGCCATTCAATGTCCAGGCGCCCAAGGCCGCGATTCTCCCCATCATCCTTCCGCCGGCCACCCTGCGGCCCCTTGCGTTTCGCACATTTACCAAGAAGCACTCGTTGACCCTCACATCATCTGCCCTGCAAGAGCTGGCCTCCTTTATCGGGAGACATTGCGGCTCGGGATGGCGCGAGGAGGGTCTCGCCGAACGTGTACTGGAGGAGGTGGCTCGGGGTTGGAAGAACAGGAATGGCGGCGTCATAGTCGAAGGCACAAGTAAAGAGCTGCACGATATCCTAAAGACGCTCGAGGGCAACATGAGCGGAGGAAAGATTGTCGGACAGGCAAGAGGTCTGCCGAGAGGCGACAGCATGCTGGAAGTGCAAGACGGCGACGCCATCAACACGAGGCTCGGTATCCGACCGACTACGCTCACGAGGGAGGACAGCAACGCCAGTTTCGGCATGTCAGGACTGGGGGTGCACGAGGAGGCGAATGACGACGACGACGATGACACAAACGATCCGCGGGCTTGGCTGAATGTTGTCAATGCGTTTGAGCAGCCGCGGTTGGTCTATAATGTCGGCAAAAAACACTTTGAAAGGCGAGATCCCATGTCTACATGCAATCTTTACACATGACAGCTATTAACAACCTGCAGGGAAACGACAAAGCCATCGTTGCTCCCGCCCGCCTCTCACAAAACCACCGTGTTCCGAAATCGATATCAAGTCATCCACCAGCGTCTACTCCGCAGCGAAGCATTCCAGACCTCGTCAGTGTCGTCGTCCCGCAAACGAGCCCTCCAACGCTCCCTCTCCAATCAACAATCACTCAAAATCACACCCATCGCAAACATGCTTGGCCGCCACGGCAGCAACCACATGCTCCTCGGCCAACTAGTCATCCTACCCACAGGAGATCTTGCCATAAGCGATCTCACCGGCACAATCGCCCTTGATCTCGGCCAAGCCGTCGCCATCCCCCAAGACTCGGCATGGTTCTGCCCCGGCATGGTCGTCCTAGTAGACGGCGTGTACGAAGAGGAAGAAGAGTCCGTCGGCAAAGGCCTCAGCGGCAGCAGCGGCGTGGGAGGAACCCTGGGCGGCCGATTCCAAGGCTTCTTCATCGGCCAGCCGCCGTGTGAAAAGCGCCAGGCAACACTGGGCATCAGCGGCCCAGAAGGCGGCCAGGACCACACCATCGGCGGCGGCTTCGGGTGGATCGACTTCCTCGGTGTCGGCAGCGAACGAGCGGTCGGGGCCAAGATGCGCCGAATCGAGCGCCGCCTCATGCACCAGCAGCCGTCCCAAGACGCCCCCGGTCGAGGCCGCGCCGTCGTGGTCGGCGAGCTCAACCTCGACCAGCCGCGCGCCCTCCAGGCCCTGCGCAAGATCCTGTCCCTCTACGCCGCCGAGCCGCAGGGCTCCGCCCCCGTGACGTTTGTCCTGGCGGGCAACTTCACGCAGCACGCCGTCATGGCCCGTGGCGGCAGTGGCGGCAGCATCGAGTACAAGGAATACTTTGATGCCCTGGCATCCGCGCTGTCAGACTTCCCCACGCTCCTGCAGGCGTCGACCTTTGTCTTCGTGCCCGGCGACAACGACGGCTGGGTCTCGTCCTTTGCCGCCGGCGCCTCCGCGCCGCTGCCCCGCAAACCCGTCCCGGACATGTTCACCTCCCGCATCCGCCGGGCCTTTGCCACCGCCAACGCGGAAGCCGGCGGCGGCCACGGCGTCCACGGCTCCGCGGTATGGACCTCCAACCCGAGCCGCCTGACGCTCTTCGGCCCCAACCACGAGCTGGTCCTCTTCCGCGACGACCTGTCGGCCCGTCTGCGCCGCACGTCCGTCGCCGTGAAGCGCGGCGCCGACGACCCCGAAGGCGCGCCACCAGAGGACGAGGACCCGGCCGCCGACGACGCCATGCAACTCGACGACGCCCACGAAGCACCCGCAAAGCCCGGCCCCGTCGCAGACGACGTGCGCACCGCCCAGAAACTGGTCAAGACCCTCCTCGACCAGGGCTACCTCGCGCCCTTTAGACAGTCCGTCCGCCCCGTGCACTGGGACTACTCCTCCTCGCTGCACTTGTACCCGCTCCCCTCGGCCATGGCCCTCATCGACACGACGGCGCCGCCGTTCTGCATCACCTACGAGGGCTGCCACGTCATGAACCCCGGCAGCGTGCTGGTCCCGGGGCGCAAGGGCGTAGCCAGATGGATAGAATACGAGATGGGGCGGCAGGGGAAATTACGCGAATGCACATTATAACAGCCATCTTAATACAACTATTTCAAGAAGAAAAAAACAAAGTATATCAATATCCAACCGTGTACATCTTTTTTCACCCTATCCAAACTCCAAATACATAGTCCATCTATTCCAGCAGCAGCTCGTCCTCGCCCAAAACACCAAACAGACTCTCAATCTCCCTCTCCACCTTTTTCAACTCGGCCGCCACCTGCGCGGTAACAAGCGTGTACGCGTACAGCAGCGCGTAGTCCTTCTCTTCAACCACCTCCATTCTCTTGTTGGAACCGTCACCCCCGACGTCGTCCTCTTGACTCCGCATGTGTTCCTTGCGGAACTGGTACATCTTGCCTAGCAGCTGGTCCTTTGCCGAGTCGATTGTCGGAATGGCATCCGTGAGCGGGTACTCGAGCATGATGCACGACGCGAGGACCTGCAGCACGTGGCAGATGCGCTGGCACAGCCGGACGCGCTCGTCGGCGGTGAAGACGAGCAGCGCGCGCTCGCCCGCCGACACCGTCTCGTGGCGCTGCGTCAGGAGGCGCATCGCGTAGAAGCCGTCGAGCATGTGCTTGGTCGAGTGCATGATGCGGGCATAGGCCGCGTCGGGGAAGGGCCCGCGCAGCTCGAATTCCGACTTGGCCGAGTTGCGTAGGGTCTCCAGCTTGAACGCTACGCAGAGGAAGTTTTAGTTAAACCGAATCAGTGGCACAGAGGACAACACTTACCGTATCGCTGGAGGGCTTCTTGCTCCCCTTCCTTCATGTAGTCCAGCGTGTTGTTGCTCTTGAGGAGAATGCTCAGCGGGCCTCGCTTCCAAATGAGCCCCAGCTGGAGGTAGAGCACCGACAGGCCCTCCTTGAACTTCTTGCGGCCGGATATCGGCCAGAGCAGCCGGCAGATAATCATGCCCCAGATGATGCCTAGCACCACGGCCACGACTCGGTGGTAGGCAATGTTGAAAATGAGCGGGTTCTTGCCGCCTTCGTCGTCGTCGTCGTCGTCCACGTCTAGGGATATACTGTATGCGTAGAGGACAATGACATTGTACGCTAGGAGGGCGATGCGACCCAACGGGCCGTTCTTGACGACGAGAATCATGTAAAAGTTCCAGAGCGCCATCAGCCACCCGCATAGGGCGAGGACGTACGCGTTGCCTTGGCTCGCTAGCCATGACACGCAGGCGCATGCTGCGCCGATGAGGGTGCCGATGAGACGAGATGTAGATGTCGTGTTTGACGCGCCAGTCGTCATACCCACGACAATCATGTACGACAGCAGACCCCATTCTCCTCGCCACTGCTGGTACAGGGGTCTCGTGGCGGGTATGAAGGCGAATTGTGCCCAGAGCACAGCCCCAATGCCGACCTTGATACCGAATAGGATGTCTTCGCGGGCTAGGAACCGCATCACCCCGAGCACCTTCTGGGACAGTTTGCGCTGGAAAGAGCTTGCACTCGGCGCTGCATCCCAGTGGAAAGAGTCTCGCCGTTTTCTCATAGAATCCGGGATGCCCTTTGGGACTGCTGATTTCTTCAAACCACGAACGGTGGTCTTTCTTTTTTGGAGGAGAGATTCGCACTCTGGGTCGTCGGAGAGGGTTGGCGGCAGTGTTCGTTTCCAGAATTTGAGCCACTCCCAGCTGCGGGAGTGCGATTCAGTGACGTGCTGCAGCTCTTCGAGTACATCTAGATAAGAGTCCATTTCGTCTGCTACAGCTTGGAGACTAAAGGAAAAGTGGCCACAAGCTGCGGCGACTTCTTCGATATCAGCCTGGATCGCTGCGGACCGTGAGCGCTCGAGCTCCACTGTCTTGTAAAGCTCTTGCAACGCGTTGCTTTTTGCACGGTTGAACAGATTTATGGCATCCCGCAGACTCTCCCGAAGATGGTCGTTGACTTTAACTTGTGTCACTGGGTCCTCTCCAAAAGGCAATTCTCGAAGCGTTTCAGAGAGCGTGTATGCTAGAGATTTGAGAGAAGGGCCAAGCATAGTTATGAATAGCGAAAATATGTCGGATGGTGTTCGGAACAGGGATGAGCTAAAAAGCGTGGGCTCACTTTGCGCAAGCAATGTCAGCCTTTGGTCCTCGTCATCTTCTTCAATGACAGACAGGGAGTCGCCGGTACTGTCCAGGATGAGCGAGGCGGTTCGCCGAAATTTTGGGGACACAAGGGATGCTCCGGGAGACAATACACCAGGTTCCTGCGAGAGCACGGGTGCTTCGCTCAAAAGTGCGATCTGAGTTGATAGCGAACTTCGCAAACCACCAATGGCCTGATACACAGACTCGACAGCTTTGAAGAGACGCTTATCCAGCTTGTATATCTTTTCTCGGCCCATGAAATAATGCTCTAGTTTGGCTTCGCGCAGACTCTTGGACATTTCCGTATAAGCCGAAGTGAAATTGCTCCGTACCTGAGCGTAGACTGGCGAATTAATTTCGTCTTCAGTCCCATTCAAGAAGCCCCTTGTGATGATGGACAGTCTGTCGCTCATGCATACCGACGCTGTGACGACCGCCTCGCGCAAAACTCGTCGGGCGGATAGGCGCCATACCAGCAAATTAACGGCCACGGAGAATATGATGCCCACACACAGCATCTTGATCACCTGGACAATCTTATCTCCAGAGAAGAAGCCGTCCTGCACTGACTGCTCCTTGGTAATGACGGTAATAATGGCCATGGACGCAAGTGTTGTAGCCACGTTGACAAGAGGCTGGTTCAGTCTCTGTTTAACCCATCCAACGAACCCTAGCCCTCCCCCAACAAAGATGATTAATACGACGGCGTGTGCAGGGACGACAGACCCCGTGCTCGTTCGCGAAGCAATTCCCGCAACCATGGACAAGACGCAAACAATCTCCGCATACGCCACGGCAATGAGGGCTATGAAAACGGCTTCTAGCATCGATCCTATGGTACGCGCTGGGTGGAAGTAAACCGTCAGCGTAGCAACGATGTGTTTGCCGTCTCGGTGGCCAAGGAAGTCGGACAGAAGAGGCCAGAAGGTAGCAGTGCTGCCAAGGAGGTACGCCAGCGTACACTTGAGCACTTGGTGGCCGTCGCGTGAGTTTAGCCATTGCCAAACGGACTTGGCCCTCGTCTTTGCGACGCGTGCCGACCAGCGAATGCTGTCGGTAGCCTGTCCCATGGACGATCGTCGTTCCAGCCTCCTGCCGCTGCTGCCCGATGCTATGCTGCTTGATGTTCGGAGTGTAAATTGGCGTCTGGAGCGTTCGCCAGTGGTGGGGATGACAAATGTGCCGTTGCGCAGTTTCTATCCAGCATTGCGATTAGCCCCGAGGACAACTAGACGGCTGCACAAATACATACACCCCTCTTGGACAGCCGGGCAGGCGGCCATGGGCCTGCCGAGGAGCTGTCGCCGGAGCTCATGGCGCTCGAAAATCACGTCGCGACGTAGCGTTGGGGTGGTTGGTCGCGTTGGATGCACGAAGAGGCGTCGTCATTGTTTTCAGCTCGCGCGAGGATGATCAAGCTCTTTGTTCGGCTGGACCGCTCAACGTCTTGCAGAGACCTTGCCACGTATAGAGATTTGCCTTGCCATGCACGTCGGCATGCCAAGTCGGTGAGGATGCGGCACGGCCAAGCGACGACGGTCAGAATTGTTGGACAACAGGAACATTCAATGTTCAAGTTCAGGTACGGGCATGGAGTACCGACGAGTTTGGTTGGGCACAAGTCGCACCCAATTCGGCATTGAGCCACTACAAGTACGTACTCCGTACAGGGGTAGCTCTCCACCATTCAGCCTCAAGTGCTCCAATCTGCAACCACATGCAGACCTTGAATCCCCACACCAGCTCCAACGTCGTTAACGCTTCCAACTTCCTGGGAATCGATGGGAATCGACATGGCTGCCACCGCCCGCGTCTGTCATTACTGGCAAGTCACTCATGGAATATATTTTCAAGTCACACAATATGGACTGACAATGGCAAGGTATCAAGATCCTCGTGCCACATGCAGAATTACCCTCCTGCAGTATCCATGACCGAAAAGGCAACATCACCAAGGGGAATGGATTTATTTTCGCACTCTAGGATGGACCGCACACATCGCGGCCGAAATGACCAACCTAGATCCTAGATTGGGCAGCCTGAACTGCGGCCTGGGCACCCAGAATAATGGCCCCAACATTGAACCTATCCGGATACCGCTTCGTCATGGCACCAACCACGTCCCTCGCCGACTTTGGGTTCCCCTTCAAAACGTCTTCAAACGCCCGGATATACTCCTTGGTTTTGTCCAAATGCCACCGCCCCAGAATCTCCCCCTCCTGGCAGTGCCCCGGAACGACGTGCAGCGGATCCAGCGCTTCCACCTTCTCGACGGCTCTGATCCATTCCGCCCTCTTGGCAGGCGTGTTCGTCTCCATCAACATCTGGTGCACCTGGCCGTACACCACGTCTCCGCAAACAGCAAGCCGCAACGCAGGCACCCAGAGGACCGTCGAGTCGTACGTGTCAGAGTGTCCTACCTCGACGGCCTGCAGCTCCCACTGATTGAGCGTAAACTTGTTGTCCCGCGGCAACGGCTCAGCCAGGACAAACGGCTGCTGGATCTCGCCGGGGAACCGAGAGTCCCACTGGAAGCGGAAGACGTTCTCTTCCACCTGCTGCTTCATGTGCTGTACGGTCCCGGCCGTGGCCACGGGCTTGGCCTCGGGGAATTCCTGCACCAGGAGAGGAATGCCGAAGAAGTGGTCGCCGTGGCCGTGGGTGATGTATATGTATGAGAGTGCTCGGTTGGGCGCTATCCGGCGGATCCAGGCGATGAGCTCCTTGGTTTGGGCGATGGTGATGGGCGTGTCTACGAGGACGGCGTGGGTTGCCGAGTAGATGAGTGTGCAGGAGATGGGGGACCAGAGTCCGCCGCCGCTACCTTTGCCCGGGTTCTTGAACGGGACTGGCGGTGCGATGTATACTGCTGCGCGGAGAGACATGATGGTGATGGGGTTATATGGACGGATGATGTGATGATTGACTACGGGGACGGAAGAGCTGAAGAGCAGGTGATGGAATACTTATACCCAACAAGGGGGGAAGAACCCCTCGATGTTGCCGATTCTGATGCTGCCCGGCATAGGTGTAGATGTGCCTCGGGTCGAAATGATCACCTCATCAACCGTGTAGTTGACTGGCACACCACCCAGATCTACAAGCGTACCGGCACTTCCCCACAAAATCAGACCGTTGTGTATTTGACGGGGTAAATACATCAAAGGGTATGTAATCAGGAAAATCTTGCTCGTGGGTACCATTTTCGGCTGTGAAGTGACAGTTGCTCAGCCAGCTGTCTGGGCGTGGCAGCATGGCCAACCGGGGTTCAGCAGCAAGATGATTTGGTGCGCGCTTGTCTATCGCTCTTTGGCGTCATGTCTGCCTATGTAAATAAAAGACATACACCGCTCTTGAAAAACGATTGTGCCCCCATGCATCATGAGCCCGAAGCCAAAAAAAAGACGGGATTCTTACAAAATAGCAAGGCTGGATCATACAAAGCATATGGAGGTAGATAAACACCAAGCATCCTTGTCCAGACCCGATTCAAATATTGTGTCTTGTCCATTGGGAGACAGCCAGGCGTTGATACCTGCACATATCAGCCACCCTTACTCACCTCCAAGCGCCCAATTTCCCGCTCCCCAAAACTATATATGTAGCAATCCGCCATTTGCCAAACCACAACCATCAACCATCCATCATGGCAGCCTCCAAAGCACACCACACCACCCATCTGCAATCCATCGGAGCAGCCCGCCTCGCCGAGTGGGACCCCCTCACCTCCAACCAAGCAGCCAAACCACGTCACGCCCTTGCCAGTCCCGAGCCTCACTCAACCACCATCACATAAACCCGTAGCAGCGTCCATGCGCCGCCTCCTACATGCATCATCAGCAATGGCCTCGGCAGCGCGCCCCCGATTCGCGCCCCTGAAGAAGGGAGCGCCGCCGACCACGGCCCCAAAACTCCAAGGCATAGTCTTTGACATGGACGGAACACTATGGTGAGAACAACACAAACAATGCAGCCTCCACAGCCTCGCTCCAAAAAAACCCTTACCAAGACGTGACAAAGCCTGCCCCAAACCCACATGTTCGCAGACATGCGCCGGGCGCTCGGCATCCCCAAGACGACCGACATCCTGCAGCACATCGAGTCGCTCCCCCCGCCGCGGCAGGCGACGGCCAGCGAGGCCGTCCGCTCCATCGAGCGGCAGGCCATGGCCTCGCAGGCGCCGCAGCCCGGGCTCGTCGCCCTCATGGCCTACCTCGACGACCGCGCCGTGCCCAAGGCCATCTGCACGCGCAACTTTGACGTGCCCGTGCGGCACCTGCTCGACACCTTCCTCCCCGCGTCGCCCTTCGACCCCGTCGTCACGAGGGCCTTCAAGCCGCCCAAGCCCGACCCCGCGGGCATCCTGCACATCGCCCGCCGCTGGGGGCTGCCGGGCGCCGCCGGCCTCATCATGGTCGGCGACTCCATCGACGACATGGCCGCCGGCAGGAGGGCCGGCGCCGCCACCGTCCTGCTCGTCAACGGCGTCAACGGGGGGCTGGCCGCCCACGAGTACACCGACCTCGTCATCGAGCGCCTGGATGACCTGGTGGCCATCTTGGAGGATGGCTTCCAGGGGCGAGACGCCAGCCAGCGGCGTGACGGGGCGGGCGGCAAGGACGGCCACTTGGCCGATGAGCCTACCAGTGCTGCTTTATAATGTGAAGGAAAGGGAAAAGGTGACGGCCGGCACCTCCTTGGCTTGATCTAATTCTTAGACTCGTTTTTGTCGTATAGATTTACGCATACATTTTAGAACAGAAAAAAGTATGGTTCCATTTTGGGCTCGCTTCTTGCTATCCCAACGCCGGAGCTGCTCAAACTAAAATCACAAATCCTTGCATATTCCGCGTGCACTATCCTGTCCTTGATGACAACTCTTCCCAACAGTCAGTTCCGCCGGAACCTTGAGCACAAAACACATCATGAAAGGACGACAAGCAATGGTCAAAATTCTCTCCTCTTCTTCGTTTTCTTCTTCTTCTTCTTCTTCTTCTTCTTCTTCTTCTTCTTCTTCTTCTCCAAGCATGACGGATGATACACGGGTTTGCTTGAATCGCCTCGCTTCCGCTGGGCACCAAAGAGCAAGAATGTGTGAATAATGATGTCATAAAATCAATGCGCCGAGTGATGCTACGCTGACTCGCAGAGTTTTGCAGCGTTCAGAGTCTTGTCATGGTGGAAGGGGGAAAGCACATGATAGTTTTGCCACGTGGTTTGCTCCATGTTTTCCCTCCGTTGTCCAGAAGGTCATGGTCTTCCCATTATAATCCGTAGCTAGGGCTGGGATTTGGGGGCAATCCAAACGTGGCTTGGCGGCGAGTCTCCCTGCGGAAATCATCAGGAGTCTGTCGTCGTGCCAGTGGCGGTGGCATTGGGTTTCCTGGGGGCCCTGCGCGGACCGGAAGGCTAAATGTTGCCGAGCTCGCACTCGCAGGGCCTGACAGTTCTGCATAGTGTGATGTTTGGGGCACTGAATTCGTCGTTGCCACTCTCATTCCCATCCCGGGGTGTGGTACTGAGCCAGGCGTCCTGATGTTGCCGTTCCTGCTGGGTGAACGGCTAGGTTGATCGCGGGGTGAAATGATTCCAGCCCCGCCAATGGGGATATCACCAGAGGTGGGTGTGGGTGTCATGCGGTCTTCGTTTTGTGTCAAGTAGGTTGGGGAGTCGCTAGACCGAAGAAGATCTTGAGTGGCGGGTGATAGTTGAGGTGCGAGGTGTGATTTGCGATTGTCTCTCTCCATGAGGCCAAATGCCCACTCGCGAAGATCAACAGGAGTCCTTTTGGCAGCCTGTACAAATGGGTCGTGGTCCTGTACACATGTTAAACCCCAAAGAAAATTCGCAAGTGAGTAGATTTTGTCAACTTACATAAAGCTCCTGTGGTGTTGGCCGCTGATCAGGTTGCTTGTAGAGGCACTTTTGAATCATGTCTTCCAGAATGCTAGGGAATGCGTCACTCTTGGGCAATCGTGGTGCGGGCTCGTGCACAATCTGTTGTAGCAGATCCAGAATACCAGCTGGAGCGCAATCCTCGTCGGAAAACTGTTCGCTCGATGCGAATGGGAACTTGCCAATGGCAAGCTCCATGACAGTCAAGCCGAAACTCCACACATCCGATTTGACCGTGTACCTTTCGCCCTGAATTCTCTCCGGGGCCATGTACGTTGAAGTGCCCACAAACGTGTCGGCAATCGAATTAATCAGTTCGCCAGAAACGCCAAAATCACACAACTTGATAGACCCTCGAGAGTTGACAAGAATGTTGGACGGCTTGATATCTCTGTGCATGATGTGGTGCTTTGAGTAGAGGTACGTCAAGCCTCCTAGGGTGGCTTCGGCGATTTTCCCAAGGACATCAACCCGAACAGGCCCGAAGACTCTCGAAACTCGATCCAGTGAGCTGTGAAGGGTATATTTGTCAGTACAATATTCAAACTTTTTGCTAAGAAATCAGATTGCGCGGTTCCGCGGCTCACCCCACGTCCATATACTCCATACACATGATGACATCGTTATTGCTGTTGAGAAATGCGCCGTAAAAGTTGACAATGTAGTCAGAATGGCATCCGTGCATAATCTGAAGTTCTCGGACGATTCGCTTGCGCATTTCCTTCTTTGCCTCGACATGGATAACCTGTGCCATTGTTAGCATCGCGTCGTGGTTGCAGTGGGTTGGGGAATAGAACCGACCTTGCGAGCCATTACCGTGCCGGTGGTAAGGTGCTTGACTTTGCTAACGGTGCCTCCATTTCCGGATCCAAGCTCCTTCATTATTTCCAGATCTTGGGGTCTCAGGTCCAGCTTGTACTCGATACCAATCTCGAGCTGCTCGTCTTTGTTATCATCTCTGCCGCCGTCAGCGCCGGACCAGCTTTCCGCAGTTGGCGGGGGTCGCGGGGCTGCAGGTGTCAGGGCAAGACCCTTGACATTCTTGCGCTTCATCGAGCGCGGCGCGAACGGATCAGCCATGGTGTTGAATGGCACTCGTCAAAGGAGCTCTAGAGCTGGTGAGCTGGTGCTGCTGTTCCGGACACTGTCGCTCTCGTGGAGCGGCGGGGAGGTAATGAGGGACTGGCAGTTGGTTTTGGTCGGTGGGACAGTCTCGAGAGGCTCAGACAAGATATGTGCTCGCTGGCATTCCCCCCTATTTGCTTCTGCGGAACAAAACAAAGGCGGGGCGTCAATGGTAGCGAGATATCGTTGCAACGTCTCGGACTGTTCGGCCGACAGACGCAAATATGACGAGAGCTGAGACCAGATTGCTGCCGACAACGGGTATGATCAAGGTTGGTATGTGAAGTCTGGTGTAGTCGGGCTGACGCAAACCTTGCTCAAGGCCGTAACAACTCGCGCCTGGCTTGCCGCTGGGGGAGGACGCTGAGCAGTGAGGGGTGGCCACCACTTTGAAGTTGGATCACACACCCACACCCACACGCAGCCGTAGCCTCAAGCGCCAAGTCGAGGGGTCTGAGTCGGTGCCTGGCCTGCTGGCTGCGTTGAAAGACGTGGAGGAGTGCTGGAGTGCTGGAGTGTTTGCAGGACTCGGCGCTCGGGTTGCTCGATTGGTGGGGTTCCTCCGGGTCTTGGACTCGTGGCGTCTCTTTGGGTGCTTGGGTCCCCTGGGTCCCCTGGGTCACCGGGGGCTATTGGGCGGTTGCGAAATGACTCGACTGACGTGCCTATGCAACTACTACGGAGTACTCCGTACCACTACTAGGTACCCGTTGTCCGTAGGCCGCATGTACATGCTTGACAGACAAGGCCGATGTCTGATGGCCATGAAGTCTTGCGGCACGGAGTGATTTTGGCTGGCGGTGGGACTGTGATCAAATGCCATCTATTGATATCTCGTAGTGGTTTGGCACTGATGCGCTCGGGGCCCCTTTGCTCCTTTGCTCCTGCAAGTCCAGTGCAAGTCGAGCGCAAGTGCTGCGCAAGTGCAATCCAACGCACGGCAAGCGCAATGCAAGCACAAGGCAAGGTGGGGTTATCTGTGGTTTCCCATTTGTGATTTGTGAGTCGGAGGGCCCCGAAGGGCAAGTGCGACGGTGAAGGTGAGCGAGCATGAGCATGAGCATGCCGTGCGAGAGAGAGAGGGTACTTAGTGCTGCGTTAGTTACTCCCCGAGTCCCTGAGTTTCTACTGCTGACAACACGACGGAGACACCAACTCGCGAAAATGGCACTCGATTGTCGAGCCCAGTCCGCAACCCAGCGTGGCGCAAACGAGGCACAGGACCCAACTTTGGCCCTCGAGAAAGAAGACCGTCGATTCAATGTTCGGAATCTAGAATGGTGCCCAAAGCGGCATGGTCTTTGCCGTCGTTCATCTTTTCATCCACCACGACATTGGTCTGGTTGGTACCCGACCCCCCATCATGGTCGCATTGTATCAAGTGGTTGCATGATAACATTAATCCATCAGGCATGCCGTGCTTGTTAGCCAGGCACCACCTCCGGCCCGGCCGCAGTTGTCTCTGCGTTTCAGACGTGGTCCAATCCGGCCTGTTTAGCACCAAAAACAACCGTCACGCATCAAAGGACCGAAACGAATATCCGTCGAACCGGACTGAACGGGACCAAGGGAACGGCGACAATCTTTGGTGCCTGTGTCCCAAGATCGCCCGCTACCCGACACGTGCGACATCAGCAAGTCTTTATCCCCTTGCAGCCTTGGATCCCCATGCACAGCCAGCGTTTGAGCACCATCAAGCAGCCATGCCCCCAAGGCTTGTTGGCAAATGCAACTGTCTTGCATGCGTCTGTCCGCGCGCTTGTCAAAAGTCAATCGCGGGCTGCAGAAACGGTCGCATCTCCAGACAAGATTGGGGGCCAACAGCCTCGCCAACCAGCATCCCCTTTGATTGACTTGATGTGGCCGCGCGACGTTGGTGCCCGGCGTCTTGAGTGAAGGCAATGACATAGGGCGGCGTTAAGCCACTCGGCACTGCTCGTTGGGCAATTGGATCTTCACTGTCTGTGGACATGAGCTGTGTGCTACACCTGCTTGGCTGGGCTTTTGAAAGGCCTGACAGGTCAGCGGGTAATTTGCCGTGCCCATTTAGGAGATGGGAAAGCAATAAAGGATGAAAGTAGTACTCCGTACACGCCAGCTTGCTGTCCCTGGCTGTCCCTGGTTGTGCCGTCTCCTTGGTAAGACAACCCCGCTACGTCATCGTGTCTGGTAAACTTCTTGATGCGCAAAATCCCTTGTTACTCGCATCTTGAGCCTGTCCTATTTTGATGATGGGGATCCTTTTCATGCTCTATCAGGAACTAATGGCGGCAGACCACCCGTCTACCAGAGAACGACTAGAGAACAAGGCACGTGGTCCTAGTGGGCATTGCCGCATTGCAACATGAACGCAAGGGGCGTCGATAAGAAATGGCGCCAAGACAGTGCCTCAGGCAATCTCAACTTCTCCTCGCGCAAAGTCGTCCAATATCGTCTTCTTCTGCAACGCCATAAGTTCCATCTTACCCTTATGCCACTCACCCCTCTCAACATTCTCTTCCGTTGCCCATCCCCAGTCACAATGCTCGTTGGGATCCATCTTGATGGCCTTGTCAATGGCTTTGCGCATCTGCGCGGCATCTAAGCCATACCCTTCTCCCACATCGACTCCAAACGTAAGCTTGCGCCATATATATCTGCCTTTGACTGTCCCAGCGATATCTTGAAACTCTTGATGGTCTACTAGTCGCCGAACCCTGCGCACATGAAGACCAGTTTCCTCCCAGACTTCCCGTTCCACCGAATGCAAGATAGTCTTGTCCTTGTCGCTTTCGCATGCACCACCTGGAACTTCCCACATGAGTCCTGCAAAGTCATGTTCGGCACGTCGGATGAGAAGCACCCGGTTGCCGCTGCGTATCACGGCTCCCACGCAAACATTTTGGATGGTCGGGTTATTTTGCAGGTAGTCTGCGATTGTGACGTTGTAGGTTGCCGCGTCGGCGTGGACTTGGATCGTTCCTTGCGATTCTGCCATTTCAAGACAACGATCATCCGGTGATTTTGGTATTTACAAGGCTCGGTGAAAATGAGAGAGACGGTCAAATTTATATTATCTATACATATGCAGTAAAGAAGATTATGTTGCTCTTTTTGCCTGATCCTTCGGGGCTGAGAGTACCCTGTCAGCCCAAGATTGACCGAATTGGCTAACCCACCAATCATGTCGCCAGCTTCGGCTTGACCTTCACATTGCATTCAGCAAGCTCAATGTCATCATTTGCTTGAGTAGCAGCTGATCAAGTTGAATCAGAGCCACTCTAGTATCTGACCCTAGGTGACTGTGTCATCTCTAATCCTAAGGGTCACACGACGTGTGACAGGTACGGGATAAGCTACCCTGGAGAGGCCCATGCCGGCAAAAAAGAAAGTAGTATCACGGCTTCGAGTCCAAATAAATAGGGCAGGAATCAATCTCGGCTTTCCGTCCGGAGAAAACACCGCAGAAATGTCCATGCTCATCTCTTTTGCCGGGGTTGTATTTATATCCAATGCTAACAAATTGCTTTCGGATTCTGGCTCAAATAGCCAGAGGAGAAAGGCTTGTTAAACCAGCGCAGTAATTCAGTCTGCTCAGTGTAGAAGGAGTTCAGTCAGATCACATCTGTATTTTGCAGTCAAGGTGCAAGACGAGTGAATCCATCCTTTGCACCACTGAATCATCCTCTTCACACCTAGGTACTTTGGGATATGCCATGTCTTCTGAATGTTACGGGACAGCAACAACGAAGAAGGAAAGAACACAAAGCTACTTTGCGAACAAAAGGCCTGCGCTTCTCGGGTTTCTGAAATATAAATTATTGCTACAAGGACAAGGAGACTGCACTTCTCTGTCGTTGTCGATGTTGAAGGAGGTCAGACAGAGACACGAGGACGGGCAAACGTATTACATAAGCAGAGGAGGCTGCGGAACAACTGTAATTCCTTGCATCCCTGCCATACGCGCTGAAGACCATCGCTTTGATGCGACCAAAAAATCCAAGGCACAAGAAAACGCAGCGCAGCCATTTCTGCTTCTTCGACAAGCTCCCGGGCGGCCGAGCCATTACATTCATCCTCGGGTTTGCTGCTGGCTGTCTCAGCCTTGGTGGCTCGCTTGGCTGATATTATCCATACATAGCCTTCGATCGCCGGCATTGGACGGGACGACGAGTTGCCTCGTGAAACGACAACTCAAAAGCCACGATGAGCAACAGCATGCGCGACTTGATTTCGGGGGAGGCCGAGTTGGATGATGAGGAAGATGATGAGTCTTTCGATGAGGAGACTGGGGAGGAGCGTGTCAGGCGGAATGGCGCTCATGTTGATGACTCCAGTGAAGAAGAGGATGATGATGAAGACGAGGAGGAAGCTAGGAAGGCGAGTGTTTCTGGCGCAGTCTGTATCACTGTATGCTAACCAGTACATCTGCACAGATCCGCGAGGGCTTCATTGTCGATGAAGAAGAGGAGGAAGAGGAAGAGGTCGAATCAGATGCAGAATCACGCCACGTGAAGAGAAAGCGCGAACATCGAGATCGTGAAGAGGAAGAGCGTCTTGATGAAGACGATTTAGAGCTCATTGGTGAGCAATTTGGGGAACGCCCTAAACCAGAAAGCAAGGTACGACCTGAACATGCACGGGGAGATCGTGCAGCAAGACCCAAGATAGAGGCTGACATTTATCTAGTCCAAATTTAAACGGCTTAAACGAGGCCATCGCGACGAAGACGATATTACCAACGAGCGCCGTGGCCTGGACGAAATCTTTTCCGATGAAGACGAAGATGCGACAGAGCAAAGGCCATATGGGCGGTCAAATCTACGTGCCCAGGCCGATGAGTTCGACGACTTTATCGAAGAAGATTTCCCCGAAGATGAAGACGAGCGAACGCGCCGACTGGAAGATTTAGAAGTTGCGCGACCTCGGGACCGCGGCGTAGGGGCTGTTGTCGATACTACAGGCCTTGACAAGGATGCCTTGGATGACATGGAAGCTATATTTGGCAACGGTGAAGACTACGACTGGGCACTGCAACTTGAAGATGATGAAGAAGACCGGGAGAAACAAGAACAGGGTATTGAGCTTAAGGATGTGTTTGAACCATCACAACTCAAGGAGAAGCTCCTCACCGACGAAGACAATGAGATTCGATTCACCGACGAGCCCGAGCGATTTCAACTGGAGCGCAAGTCATTCAAGAACCTTCAGCTCACCGCGGAACAATTTAAAGAGGAAGCCAAATGGATTACGAATCAGCTGTGGCCGAAGAAGGGTCTGACCCAGGAGCTCCAGACGCCCTTTGCTAAAGCTGTCGGCAAAGTTCTTGAATTCTTTATCGTTGACGAAGTCGAAGTCCCGTATGTCTTCCAGCATCGAAAAGACTATCTTCTGCATTCCAAAAAGATTCGAAAGTCGGCCCGTGATGATTTGGATGGTCCGGATTACACTATTCAATCAGATAAGCTCCTTAATCAGGACGATCTCTGGAGAATTCTGGAACTGGACATCAAGTTTAGATCATTTGTTGACAAGAGGAACTCCCTGGAAAAGACATATGAGAACCTGAAATCTCTTGACGTTGAGGATCCGATGGTTGAGGAAATGATTCCAGAAGCTACAACTATGGAGGAACTACAAGACCTCCAAGATTATCTCCAGTTTCAATATGGCGCTAAGCTCAGGGATCTTGCAGTCATGGCTGGTAACCACTCTCAATCGAAGCGGCCTGGCTCAAAGTCAGCCCTACTTGATCGAGTTCGCAACGGCAAGGCGTACTATTTTGTGAAAGCTTACGGTGTCTCTGCCGACCAACTGGCCAAGAATGCGCTGCGGCAAGGGAAAAAGATCACACCCGATGACGACTCGCAGTACCCCATGGACCTTGCTGATAGCTTAATCGATGACAACTTCAGCACAGGCGACCAGGTCATTTCTGCAGCGCGTCAAATGTACTCGGAGGAGCTCTTCGCCAGCCCTCGCATGCGCAAGTACTTCAGGAGCTCTTACTACCAGGCTGCCGAGCTCAGCTGTCGACGTACGGATAAGGGCCTTCGGAAGATTGATGATTCACATCCCTATTATGAAATCAAATATCTCCAGAACCAGGCAATTGCTGACCTAGTTCACCGACCGGAGCTCTTCCTCAAGATGATGCGAGCAGAAGAAGAGGGCTTAGTTGATATCAAAGTCGACATGCCACCACGATACGACTTCCGGCGACAACTGTACCAAGAGTTCGAGTCTGAGAACTTCAGTGACCGTGCCGAGCAATGGCGAGAGGAGCGAAAAAAGGTTCTCGACATGGCCTTCCCCAAGCTGGAGAAGGTCATTGTAAAGAATGTCAAGGAAGTTATTCGTACTTTCTGCCAGGATGAGGTGCTCAAGATGTGTCGCCAGGAGTTTTACCGAAAGCTGGATCAGGCTCCATATAAGCCAAAGGGAATGATTCTGGGAACCACACCTCGAGTCCTTGCTCTGTCCAATGGGATGGGTGACCCAACCCGTGAGCCAACATGCTGGACATGGGTGGAAGAAGACGGCCGAGTTCTCGAGCAGGGCAAGTTTGGTAACCTGGCGCGAGACGAAGCTCAGCGGGAAGAGTTTGCTGCGCTGGTTCGACGGCGCCGCCCAGATGTTATTGCTGTCAGTGGTTGGAGTGCCGAAACAAGCAAACTGGTTCGAGACATAGAAGCTCTTGTGAGCGATAAGGATCTCCGGGGAGCAGAGTTCGATGATCCGGAGACCAATGATTACAGAACAGAGCCTCTCGAGGTGGTCGTTGTGGATGACGAGGTAGCCCGACTGTACAAGGACAGCCCGCGTGCGGTGGCTGAGCATCCGTCTCTGAACCCAGTGACGAGATATTGCCTTGGCTTGGCGCGATACATGCAGAATCCGATGAAGGAGTATGCCGCTCTCGGCAAAGATGTATCATCGCTTTCATTCCACCCTTGCCAGCATCTGTTACCGCAGGATAAGCTGGCAAAATACCTTGACTCCGCCATGGTTGATACTGTCAATATGGTCGGTGTTAACATTAACGATGCAATGACTGACACATACACGGCAAATCTACTGCCTTATATTGCAGGCTTGGGACCCCGAAAGGCTACTAGCGTCATCAAGGCGATTAATGCCAATGGAGGCTCCGTAAACACACGAGATGAGCTAGTTGGTGACCCCGACAGCGGCAAGTTGCCTGTTGTTGGACCTCGTGTCTGGAACAACTGTGCCAGCTTCCTATATATTGAATTCGATTCAACCAACGAGATAACTGATCCCCTGGACAACACGCGAGTTCATCCTGAGGATTACGAACTTGGTCGCAAGATGGCTGCAGACGCCTTGGAGTTGGATGAGGAAGACGTCAAGGCCGAAACGGACGAAAACGGACCCGGCGCAATTGTTCGGAAACTGTTCAAACAAGACGAGCAAGAACGAGTCAACGAACTTGTCCTGGATGAGTACGCTGATCAGCTGCTGACCAACTTCAGCCAACGAAAGCGGGCGACGCTCGAGGCCATTAGCGCAGAACTTCAGGCCCCGTATGAAGAACTGCGACGCAGCTTTGCGCCCCTGAACCAGTCCGAGATCTTCACCATGTTTACCGGCGAGACAAAGTCATCGCTGTGCGAGGGAATGATTGTGCCTGTCAATGTCCGTATGGTGCGAGACGACTTTGCCATTGTCAAGCTCGACTGCGGCATTGAGGGCAGGGTTGAAGCACATGAAGTGACGAGTCGCACTTCGGTCAAGGAGGTCCTGAGCACGGGCCAGACTGCCCAGGCCAAGATCCTCGAGCTGAACTATAAAGACTTCATGGCGAAGCTGTCTATGCGAGAAGATGCGTTGCGCGTGCCGTTTAAGCGGCCCATTAATTATGGCCGTGACGGCTGGGACTACAACCTGGAAACAACCGACAAGGAGGAGCTTCGCGAAAAGGACCAAAGCACTGGAAGGACACAGCGGGTGGTCAAGCACCCCAACTTCAAACCC